ATATATATATATATATATATATATATATATATATATATATAAGGCTGAAACTATTGTGGCTAACAATAATATGTGTCTAAACTAATGATGTCGTTTCGTGTCCCAATAACATCGTTTATGGTTCTGTTTCTTCTGTTCCTTCCTCTCTCCCTCGTCGTCCGCTCGTTGCGGCTTTTCCTTCTTCCCACTCGCCACTGTCTTCTCCCTCCCACTTCCTCGTTTCGCCCCCATCGCCAATTCCCAACCCCCCTCCGATCTTTCCTGGTAATCGAACGAACAGGAGATCATTCGTTTCGTGGTGGGAGTTAGAAAGGAGTAGGAATAGAAGGGCGGGAGAGAGGAGGAAGAAGCAAGATGTGCTGCGAGTGCCGACCGCTCGGATGGCTGCTGGGCCTTCCCTTCGCTTTGCTCTCCCTTGTCGTCTCCATCGTCGGCGCCGCCATCTGGATCGTCGGGTACGTCGACAGCCTATATCCCTTTCTTCTTCTTCTTCTTCTCATTCTTCGTTTCAGCATCGGTGAATGCCAATGGATCGATGAGCTGCGCTATCAGATTTTGAATTGATGGGGTTTCCTTTTAATCTTCCTTCTCTAATTGTTTTGGGGGGGGCTGCAATTGCAGGCTGCCGGTATCGTGCATCTGCCCGTGCTGCCTGTGCGTGACGATCCTGGTGGAGTTCGCCGTCGAGCTCATCAAGGCGCCGCTCCACGTCATGAGGTGGTTCGCCTCGCAGATCCCCTGTTAGCCCCTCATCCTCTTTAACCACCCGTATTCCGAGGGATTTCGCTCGGTACTCGAACGTCATCTCACCATTTCCGCTTCACATTTGGTTTCTTAGTTTATGCGGTGATTCTTATCTTCCATCGTTGTGCATCCACTGCCGATTCATACTGTTTGGATCGTAGTTTTGGATTCCGGATGATGTTATGAATCAGATGGATGAAAAGATGGAGGGTGGAGTTGGGAGTCGAGGAAGCATGCAGTGTTTGTTGCCCATGATGTCCATGGATCGTATCGAGGAACAATCCATGCATTTCCATCACAACCCAACTAGCGTCGGACTTCCATCTCTCATATTTCAAATCATCACTTAATATTTCAGTCAAGTATCCCGGTCTTAAAGCATGTTATGGTGAAATATTACGATTAGATGGTTCGTTCGTGGGTTAATGAAATTTATATTGTTTAGGAGGAATGAAGTATCAAAGAAATATTCTGATTTAGAGACGCTCTCTTGAATACAAATTCTAAAAAAAATAATAATAATATTTGAATTTCCATTTAGAGAAAGCTACAGAGACGACACAATGCGTGACCAAAACCTCAGTTAACGTAATTAAAGGGCCCAATTTTTATGAATCCGAAGCATACGGACGGACGGACGGCCGGCCGTATTTGATACCTCGATCCAGGCTGCATGCTGTGCAAATTAGGGTCCCATCAACCAACCCTAACTAACTCACCTGATTACTCGGAACGTGGTGGGCCTTGTCGATCCAAGAAATGAACGTTCTTTTCCCTACTCTAAACCCATCACTAGCATTCACGATGTTTGGAGCATCGGAGGGCAAAACTTGTGCGCTCACATGCACATTGTAAACCAAACCCCTACATCCTTTCGATCACGAATCTGGACGACATCGACCGTGCCTCTCCAGCGCATGCCTCTCTGCGCTTCATGGGGCGACACGAGAGGGCGTGAAGCCATGTCTCTCCACGTACATCTTGCCGCCATGGCACCTGTCTTCCTCCTCGGTTTCTTGGGCGTGTGCGCTGAGGGACTGCATGACGCACTTGTCTAAGGAGCGTTAAGACGGAGTCGCCCATGGTTTAACTGCGGTGCAGCGTGTGGGACAACGTCTTCGTGAAGGATTCTTGTTTTCCTCCTCTTTGCTTATAGAGGGCCTCGCTTTACTGTCCGCTCGGTCACTCGTTCACAACCGGTGAGCGACGCAAATCCACAAGCTGCCAAGGAAAAGCGTGTTGTTGCTTTCATAGGGGATGGAAGTTTCCAGGTACATTCGGAGTGCTTACCTGATCGAATTATCTGATTTAAGTGTTCGATGCAAGAAATGGTTACCGAACTAGATTTTGCATTTAGATCATAATTTTTGTTTGAGATCTCTGCAAACCATTTAGAGTTGTCAGTACGTAGCTCTGATGAAACGAAAGTTTATTACAATGGCCAACGGATTGAGGCTGGCTTCTTTGAAATCGTAGTTTGAGCAGGACAGGACATTATTGTGATCGATGACCGATACATGAAGAGATGCCGGGAATGCTACTCGCTTACTGGTTACCAGTTGCGAGCTTTGGTTGGTGGTTCTTTCACCGAGTCCGGATTCCATCAAACAAGTGCTGCATACAGGATCTGATTCCAGGTATCGGGAAGGCCGGCGAGGCACCAGTGGCTGCAGTCCATGCCCGAGTGATCTCCACTGTAAGCGGATGGATGCGCGTCCTTTCTGAGCTGGGAGAGCAAGGTTATGTCGAGCAGATAGACCGGCTTCGACATGGCCCCGAGGACGCTGTTGACGATACCTTGAGCTGGAAGTGGACCGCCTGGGTACGTCGATCCAGCGACCGGTTGCGTCTGTTTGTTACAGTTGTTCGTATTCTGCTCTCCCCAGTCCGCTCCTCTGATTCCATGACCAAGAGAAGAACCCAGTCAGATCAGATGAAGGAGAACAGAGGTGAGTGGTTTGTGATGTTGCAGAGCTTACTGGTAATGGGTTGGGGAGATGCCTTGGAAGAAGACTTTGGTGGCAGCTGAGTCGATGTTGGAGTCCACCCACTTGGCCCACGTCGTCAGCCCCTTGTTGAAGGCCACCAATCGATCCATGTCTCTGTACACCTGATCTCCATCCTGTACGTAGTCCCATCTGCGCCAGCCCACAAGATTGCTGTGGTTAGACGGAGAGGAGAGGAGAGGTTTTGCATTGTGGTATCAACAAGGACGGAGACAGAGACAGAGACAGAGACGGAGACAGGGCGGATCTCACACGGTTGGCTGCTTCCCTTGTGAGTCCACCAATGCCAAGTGTTGAAGACCAAGACGTCGACGCCCAGCCACGCGGAACCGGACTGGATGGAGTCAAGCTTGAGGACGCGTCCGATGGGTTCGCTCACTATGTCCACCAGATAGGTGGTGTGGTACAGCATCACCGACACGCCATAGTCCTGCAAGCAACATGGTATCGCGTTAGCTGTGGCCGAGCTCATCTCCTCCTTGTTTCTTCCCGTTCTTGTGCCCGCTTCGCTGAGTAGCATCCAAGATGAATTCCGTCGGATTAGGTAAGCAACACACTGCAGAGAGGTTTAGTCTGAGGAATTTCTAATAGCATTTGTTTTAGGTGGTCCGGCAGAGGCGCTGTTAGGAATGAGAGTCCGTGACACAGGAGGGAGGGGCCGGGGGAGGCCCTCACATGGTGCATGTTTTGTTGTTGCATGGCCTGACCATTGACAGTCACATGACCTCTTTCTGGGTAATTCCAAGGAGGAAAATGCTCTCGGGCACCCAACTTTATTCCATGGATAACACCAAGAATCTTTTGGTACCGAATTGCACGAGGAAAACAAATGGAAAGTTTCAGAAAGGGGGAAGAAGTTGGGCAAAGACGGCAAGCAAACGGAAGGAAGAAGAGAAAGGAAGAGTTTTTACACCTCGACCTCTTCTTGTCTTGCTCTCATCGAATCATCACCCTCAACGAAACACAACATGTGAGTTTTATCTTTTTGAGTTCATATTTCCGAATCTAACGTATTGTATTGACAGGATTGTGGGAGAGTCGTGTGTAGGTCTATTGAGACACTGAACCCGTGACCGCAGCATGTTGGGAGCCATCTGAAACTTACTGTAAAGTCTATTAATTTGATGCATTGCATAAAAGAATAATATAGCCTTTGTAACCTTGTTGAAGATGACAGAATAAAAAACACTTTTAAAGAAGAGCTAATCGAAGAAATCGACGGGGGTGGGCGGCGGTGTTTGGCCGTTGGCCATCATCGCTACATGAGCTCAGGACAGGTGCAATGGGGAGAAGATAGACTGGAGATGGGCAGTGCGGTGAACTGCTCTGCTGTCTTCCATGATTAGCGTTTGCTGCTACTTGGCCATTAAACAAATGAGAAATTGGGCACGACATGTGGTGGTGGTTGTGACGTTTGATACGTCCATGTCCGCAAACAAAAAGAACAGACAAAAGCCATCTGAGGAGGGCGACCAAAATGAAAACTGTGGGTGCTTGTGTCATGATTGGTGTCTTGTGGAATTCAGGGAACGAAGAATACGAGGGATGGAAGACGAAGACGAAGACGAAGAAGAAGAAGATGATGATGATGAGCACCTCAAATGTTATGGTGGACAGAGGGGTCTTCCTGGTGTAGGTTGTCTTGGCGTTGGGCACGGCGGCACGAAGCATGCAGCCGAGCGACTCCCACTGGTTGAGGCTGATGGAATCGCCCACGAACATTATCTTCTTGCCTTTCAGCCTCCCCAGCATATCCTGCCCATTGAACCTTCACAACAGAACACCCATTCGCTTCAGAGTCTTAACATTAGAGACGAACTCTGTCGATGCAAGCGACGGCCGAAACACGAGAGAGGAGGCGACCTCGGGAGTTCGCAGGCGTCGGGCTTCCACCGGTACTTGAGGTACTCCTTGTCCGGCCGGCCGTAGCGCTGGCAGTCGAACTCTGCCTCCAGGAAAGGGCAGGTGGAGGAGTCGTAGAGCGGGTAGGAGTCGTCGTAGACCCAGCTCCCCTGGAACATGTTGCAGCTGATACCGTTCGCTCGCTCCCTCCTCCTGGCCGACGTGCCATTGCCGCGGTGGTGCTTGTGACGGAAGCTCTCCGTCGTCATGCCATGCAAGGAGGCAATCAGAACCGAGAGCAACGCGCAGCGGAGCCCAAAGCTCCATTGAGTTTTGGATCCCATCACAAACAGGAGGAAGAAGACGAAATGATGAGAGGGAGGGAGAGGTGAGGCTTTAAGTACGTCTGTCTATGGAGCTTTTATATATATATATATATACATATATATATATATGCGTGTGTCCGTATATGAAGCCAATGTAAGAAAGGATAGAAGTCGAACATATGAAAATGCAGCATAGTATTTGCCTCCCGATGAACACTATAGTGATTATTGATGCAGTGAAAGGGTAGGGGAATCGAAGGAGAATAATCAACTGATGTGACGCTTGGCACGAGAATCTTGATAAGTATTACATCAACGTCAATCTCTTTCATCTCTTGCCTTATTGCTAGTGTCGGCAGACGTGTTCTTACCGTCACTTTTAGCCGTATCTTTTGCATGCCACCAGCTGCTTCCTGATTGATGATCGATGGAGAAGACGAAATTTGATCCAAACGCAAGAAACAGTGAGTGACTTCATTGGGAAAACACATCTCTTTTTTCTTTCTTTTTGAGAAGAGAGTGAATGCTATTATTATTCCACGTCCAATGATGTTGCTTGTTGACTATTATTAATGGCTTCCACTCTGCATTAAGATTTCATAAAGCCTACTCATGCACCGGAAAGGTTGTTCTTTAATCACCTGGAAAGCCTGAGGACCAGCGGAATAACAAGTGGTTTTGGCTGAGTTAAGAGCATTAACTTTGACTTCTTTCCAACTTTTGATGTCCCGTGGAGAAGGAAGGGATAATGGACTCGCCTATATTTTGCAGTGAGCACTTGGGGCATCCACCTCTAATCCAAGTCGGATCTTTCTGCAGCAGCACAGTTTGGTGCTTCACCAACCATGCGCAATTTTCTCATCTTTCTGCATCACCCCAGTTTGGTGCTTCGCCAACCATGCGTAATTGGTAGCCTGGTACCACGCTTGGACATGTCAACATCGCACCGTGCCACGATAGATATCTTTAGTCTCCACGCTATTCTTTGCTTGCTTCCTTCCTTGCGTTTCACCTCTTCGGACCTTTAATGATTCAAGCTCAACAATGGCTGGGAAATCTAACCTACCCCAAGTTTATTGTGCACGGTGTTTGATGCCCAAGATTCACAGTTCCTGAATCTTTCTTGTATGCTATACGTCTTCGAGAGTTCGATGGTAGATTCTCCTGGCTAGTTAATAACTCGAGAATGCAGCGAGTCAATCACGGGGGCAGATGCCATCACCATGCGGCCGGGTCAAATCAGTGGAACGAGATTTGCTGCGAAATGGGGCCTTGTCGCACTCTGTAGTTCTTCTACCTTGGAACACATCATGTGTCTAACGCCTGCACGTCCTAATCTTTCTTCTTTTCTAGTCACATGTATCGAGCTCTTCTCTTCATCTTTATCCCCACCAGGTGACTAAATGGTTATGCAAAATCGACCCATGAAAATTTGGAAGAGATTAGTGTTAGAATACGTGGCCCATTTATAATTGAATAAGATATATAATAGAATAACTAATTGGGTTCCGTTCAGATATTTTAGCCAAGACTAAGTCCGGGAGGAAATCTTCTGAGATCTCATCTCATCGTAGACCCACGCATCTCTCAGTTGAGGAATTCAGTTATTCTCCTCGACTCTCTCCCCAAAACCCTCTCCCCAAATCCATCAATCTGTGTGATCCTGTGAAAGGATAGGAAGAGAGGAGAAAGGGTTACTCTTCGCACTCCCTGCAAATTCCGCAGCGCGAAGACGGAGCCTGCAGTAATCTTGGATCACGGTGCTGAGCAGATCAAACAAGATCTCTGAACGGATGGCATCAGCATCGTATAGATCTATATATTGAATTTTAATCCTGGCATGTAGGTTAATTCCGCATAATTGACATAGCATAATTACAGATTTTTATGCTTACAACTAGACCATCCTGTGTTCTCACAGTTCTTGCATTCATGATCGATCATGTCTGACGAAGACTTGCGACCTTCCACGTTCGGTATTAAACTCATACGAACGATTGCCTGTCATGAAAATGATGCAGCACCAGCTCTCTCTCTCTCCGGTGTTCTGCTGCTGTGTCTTCGAAAGCCCTCTTAGAATCCATTTGAATGTTCGGTAAGAATGCCCTGTAGATCGAATAATTGTGAGTGACGAAGCTTCAACGCTCGTTTTTTGGCCAAAAAAAATTGCTCCTTTGAGGTGCAGAGCCTTTCGTTGCGGGGTCGTTGTTTGCTTGTGTGTGTTTATTTGCGATGCTGCTCATCATGGCACGAGATGAAAGAATGCGACGACAACAGTGACCCCAACGCAGTCATGGATCGAATTGGAGTAGGCTCAGTGAGCTGGCTGTGGCGCACCGAATCCTCCCCTCCCCTCCCCACCCCACCCACCGTGCTGCGTGCATGAGATGGAAGAAGATCAACAGGCCACTTGTGTGGGTGGCAAGGTTAGATGCTGGTTGTTGTCGTGCTGGGCATGCAAGTGGTGCCGTATCCGGTGGGTGGAGTAGCGTCTGGAATCATGCTGGTTTCAACTGGCACGGGCTTATGGATGGGTGATGACAGCCATTGGTGGCAGAAAGGGAGCAGTTGTAGGAGACGGCAATCAATGGCTTTTGGACCCTGCTTCGATTGAGCCGCGTAGGGCCGCGAGCGACGAGGAGGCGACGGTGACGGCGGAGCCCACGCGGCGTCCGAGAGAAGCAAGCCTTTCGGCCGCAACGTTCATCGGTAGGAAACGAAGGATGAGGACTAGGGATGGAGTTCAAATACTTCGGCTAAAGGCCCACTGAGCCCAAGTAAAGCATTGCCTACTACTCCCGTCGGACATGTAAACGAAACCTCAACTTGATCTCAGCTCGGCTGTTGGAGTTGGGACGATTAGCATCTCCAAGTATTTTGCTTCTATTCTGGCAAACATACGATGGATTGATGAAGTTATCCTTCTCCGGCACTAGTCATATATAATTCATAGAAGATTGGAGATCTGAGCTTTTGAGGGGGGCGACACTCCATCATATACAACCAGAATGTCACCGTGGGAAATTATTTCTTTCAGTTTATCATCCTCCAGCATGCATGTCAACAACTGTGTGTGAGAGTTTGCGCCGGTGCTCATGTAGCTGCAGCCCAAGAAGAGAGACGAGTGCAGGTTTCTTGGACCAACCTGCGTCATCCGCAACGCACGGGAAAACGCCAACCACCATGCTCCAAAAACAGAGGATAAGGGCATTAGAATCTCTTATCAACAGTTGACTTAAGATTTAGATTTGGAAGCTTGGGTTGACCACATCGTCAGTAAGGCAAGCTCTTGGAGCTGGAGGTGGCAGCCAAACTCTTGAAGCAAGAAAAATCCTCGGATGCACGAGCTCTCCTTATGATGGCTTGCATGTTCTTGTCAAGACTCTGCTTCACCATCGTATTCACAGCCCTTTTGCCCTCTCTTATCTGCTGCCTACCATCTGAGAGGTGATCTGGTCGAGGCCCAGAATGGCCTCCGGTTCTTGCACGCCCCTCCTCTTTGAACCACTGCAACATCTTGATCGCTCTCTTCCGTGCGAGGGGACTCCCCATCAGCGCCACTTCCAGAAGCAGAGGCACTATCCCCAGCTCCGCCATCTTCTTCCTCTGGACCTTGCTCCGGTGCGCAAGGGCCATCAGTACGTAGGCGGCGAGCTCTTGGCATTTGGGCTCCTCCTCCCACGCCATGATCTCCATCAGAGCTTCTGGGACTATCGCGTCCTCCTCCACTGCTTTCTTCCCCGTTTCGCACAGCATCAAGTTCCCGAGAGTCGCCAAGGCGCCCTCCGCCACGCTTCTCATCTTCTGCGACGACTTGAGCAGAACAGGCACCGCGCCACTTGAAACGACGGCTCTAACGTTGTCGAGCTTGGTGGAGATGTTGTATAGCGCGGCCACGCACGTTACCTTCATCTCTTCGGACGTTTCGGTGGCGTCCAGGATTCGGATGAGGCAAGGCAACATGGGGCTGGGGTTGATCGGGAAAGTTGTTTTTGCGAGGAAGGAGAGGGACAAGAGGAGTGCTGTCAAGTGCTGGTTCTTCGGAAGGTCCTCGGTGTTCATGAGCTGCGGCAATCGGAGGAGGAGACCTGCCTCCACGGTGAGCGCCTTGTTCCTGGAACATGCAGGATATGGATCAAGATCGATGATAAAGAAGTGGCAATCGGAATAGTTTGGTAAGATGCGCAGAGGTGCAGCTTTGACTTGGAGCGGAGAGATAAGGGAAGACCCGTGACTAAGACAGGTCAGCGTTGACAAAAAGTAGGGAAGCGACAAAATTGGGACCCACTTGGGGTTGACAATTGCGGGTTCAAAACGGATGCCGGCTTCTGCTCCTCCACCTACCTACGGGTCTACGACTTAAGCGACGAAGATAATGGCGAACATTTACTTCCCGACTTCGGTTACGAACGTATTTCGTCGACATAAGAAAACGTTTATTTTCTTTAAATCTGCACTTAAATGGAATCTGTCGGTGCGAGTAACGCAAAGTAGACATCAACAGTGCGAGAGTGGTCGTCGTAGTCATGCAACGCAAAGCAAAGCAAAGCAGCTCTGGTGAAGCATTAACGCTGGAAGAAACAGTATCAGAGACGGAGAGTCTGCAACATGAAAACAGAGGAGGAGTACATCTAATACATATCCTCTGCCTCTTCCTAATCGTTCCTGTTGCTCGGATCAATACTCGTAATCAAATCGGGTTCTATTCGATCATTAGCTAATTCGACCTAATCATGAGGAAGAACTGCTGAGAAGGATAATTCATGGTGGGAATCGATACTTGGTGTTGGATTCTTACACGAGCGAAGCAAGAAACTATTAGCGGAGGCGAAGCAGAGTGCTGGCGTCTATGACTTGGCGATGGTGGGGTGGAATCTGTCATTATTAATCGGGCCTCCATCTCTGATGAGTAGTTCTATCGTCGAACAACATAACAATTCCAAGAACACAAGAAACAAGGAATTTAATAGGTGTTCGCGTGCTACTCACTTGAAAGTGCCGTGGGCTAGTTCGATGAGCGTTTCGACTACAAGCTGCCGGCGACGATCGTCCTGCGCCTGGAGGAGCATGGAAACCAACGGCGGTATGACCCCGAGTGCCGCCAACAAGCGCTTCCTACGGGGATCGCTCGCTGCCAACCTCTTGATCTCCGCAACCGCCGTCACCTTCACGTCGTCGCACTCTCCAAAGTGCAGCTGCTTCACCGCCCTTTGCATGGCCACCACCCCATCCTTACCCCCTTCCATCGCTGCCCTCAAAAGCTGGTATGAGTGGAGGCAGACGGGGGGCCTTGGCCTTGTCGGAATTGGTTGCTAAAGAGGAGCAGGCGGTGGAGCAAGCAAGTCAAAGATGCGAGCCAAGAAGCGAAGCGGCAGAAACGTCGTCTTCTAATCGTCGTTTCCGTTGAAGGAATGAGGCGCGCCAAACCCAATATGCCTATCTACGGTTCGTCACAGCTTTTCCAAATCTAAGATGGATATACGGTAGCTAGCAAAAGACTAATCCAAAAGGAGACAAGAGAGATGATAGTCTGGCATGGGGGAAGAAGCAACGGCGATAACGAGGAAGACAAAAGGAGAAAGAACAGGTTGCCGAACATGTTGACTCTGGCAGGCACCGAGTATATTTATCCAGCGATCGATTGGTGAGGCTGTACGCACCGGCAAATATTTGTCATGTTAGGCTACCAAACAGAGGTGCATTGTGGGGTTGGATTTGGTTGCTTGGAGATCGGAACACGATGGTCGTCGCGTGGGCGATCACCACCATGACAACACGCACCAAGAGATGGAGATTCCTCTCGTTAACTCACGTGTTGGGCGAACACTGCTGCTTTCGTTGAACACACAAAAGCTTTCTTTTTCCTCTCTCTCTCTCTCTCTCTGTCTCTCTCTCTCTCTCATCAATCATCATCGACATCGGTCGTCCATCGAAAATAGCCGAGATAATACAAACATTAATGTCGTTGTTCGTCCATGACACGTACTCGGAAGAAGACGCCAACGCGAAGAACAGCATCAGAAGGCGGGGATCAAATGGGGTCCTAATGGCGCACCATGGAACATTGTTTCGTTGCCACCCTCCCTCGGATTCCATTTGATCTACGGCGGCATACCTAATATAACACGAGATCCATCAGCACATCATTAGCCGCCCCCCCTCCCCACTGCATCGATGGACGGTCCATTTAGAAATCCTCAGTCCGGCCTTGACGAAGCTCGCGATTCAGAACCACGAGTTGGGCCACCGCATGGGCATCACTTTCATCGATCGGATAACGCTCGATGACCAACGAAGCATTATTGGTGTGGCCCAAATCCACCATGGACACGGCTCGCAGATCAGCATCCATTCGAGTGTTGGGCACCACATAGGAAAGTAGTGAATCCATGCCTTCCGATTTGGGTTCCATGTCAACTCACTTAGTCCCGTGATGCACGTTCCGAAATGGTACAAAGAAGAACTCTCGATTGCATCGGAAAAAACAAAAAAAGATTTCTCTTTTTTTTTTTTTTTGTTCAATCATCGGCAAATTGTATTTATCTTCTTTTGTTTTTTGGGAGGGGGGAGACATTTAGACTAGTTTTAAACTAGAATATATCTGTATCTCTGTTTGAAGTTTTTGGAGAAGTGAGATATCAAATCTTGCATAATTAATCTAGTACTGATAGTCATCCTTTACACAGTCGGCGTAGATCATTCCCGGGTGTGTAGATCATCCACGTCGGCGTTCGGTCGGCGAGGACCGTAGTCTAGCGAGGTCGGGTTTGGGCTCTGTATCCCCAAGCTGAATGATCGCTTGGGATTGCAACTGGGGGGACATGTCGACGACACACACTTCTGATGCTAAAAGGCTTGACAAATAGCGGAATGCTTGTATCATACTACCTGTTAGTGTAAACAACTTTATGCCATGGCCTTGGGGTTGTCGCGGCTTGGTCGGGGGTCCGAATGGCGGGGATCTCACGCAGCGTCCCTCGAGATCTCTCGGTGGCCGATTGCGACGGTCCGGTCGGGATGTCGCGTCGGGAGGGAAGCTTTTGCCGCGGCACCGGGAAGGGACGACCACGTTCTCGTACCTGCACACAGGTCGGGTCGGAAGCTCGGCCCGACCCCTCCGACGATTAAGTAAGTGGACGCGGAGGGGATTTTTTATGTGAAGAAGTGCCCCCTATTCATTTAGAACTTTGGGGTATTTATAGGTAAGATTTGTGTTACCTGATGTGCCTGCCTGCAGGGGAAGGACCGTACCTCTGATGACATCTGACATTGCCGTTGGCGTTGCGTGGAGAACCGAACTGCCGTAGGGTATGGGTGAGCCGCGGTCGTCGTCCTCCTCTACCTCGGTCAAGCGTGCGGGGTCAGACAACGACGAGGTCGTTCTCCGAGAGTGAGTGACGTCGGCGCACATCGAGTCGGCATTATTGTCCTCTTCCTCGGGCAGAGTGTCGTCCAGGCGAGGCTGACGTCGTGGCCCGTCATATCGTCATTATTACCATCATCACTACCCAGGAAGCTTAATCCATCGTACATCATCACCCAGGACAGGACAGGGAAGGAAGGAAGGAAGTAGGCCGAGTGCATCGATCGTTGTTTTGTGTGTTCGGTCATTCACTTTGCCTTGGTCTTCTTATGTCCTTGCCCGACACGTCTCTACTCCATGGAGCTGCCAACGAACAGAGCGCCCAGTCCTGGCCGCCGGAGACGCCGATACCACATCCAAACCAGGTCTTTATCGTACCACCTCTCGACCAGCGCACATAACTTTCAACCGCGCCACTACGGCTTTCCCAGGACTAGTTACAGGTGCATCTTAAGGAACGTGAGCTCCTGGCGGTCGCCGGCCCGAGCGGCGCTGGAAAGACCACACGGCTGTCTCGTGCCAATGAAAACATACCCAGCTACTGGATCTTCATGCACCACCCGACCTCGTTCGAGTATCCTTTCGAGGCTTTGGTTCTGAACGAGTTCGGCGGGCAAGGGGATGTGCTCTTGACGGAGGGATGCTCCTGAGGCGGCAGGGTGTAGAGGAGTTCCAAAGGTGGAGTCATGTAGGGATGATGCTTCCGTCCGTGTGTGGGGGGTACAGGATCCTCTGCTTCCTTGTTCTCTGGTGTAGATGTTACAGGTTGAGAAGATAGCCTCTTCCTCCTCTCGGCCTCTGCTTCTTTTGGCAATGGGTCGAACTATGGAACGGAGCTCTGATCGCAAAATAACATATTTACGGGGCGTGTTTCTGTGAAAGTTAATATAATAACTCCAGGGGTGTAATTATAAAAACGAGTGTCAGGTATTTGAAGAGGGCGTTGGAAGAAACCCCAACTCGCTGGGTGTTGCGCTTTCCTCTGTTTCTTTCCATCTATGGCGGCGGCTCAACCCTTCACCCATTCCGCCTCACTCTCCACGGCCTTGAAGCCGGCGGCACCAAGAACTTTAGGTTTTGGGTCTTCCTTCTCGTTCGCCAAGTCCCCTAGCCATCTCCTCCGCCGGATACACACCCAAGCCGCGCCCGGTGGTCGAGTAGGCGGCGCTGCCCTTGCAGCTCGGATGGTCTCTTCCCTGCCTTCCATCGGTGGGTCTGTCACCTCTCTCGACTTCGAGAGCTCGGTGTTCAAGAAAGAGAAGGTCAACCTTGCCGGCCACGATGAGGTATTTCACCCGTATCCACCCCGATTTCATTTTCCTTTCTCGCCCCGGTCTCTTCATACTTTTGTTCCTTTTTTCGGGTGGATGGGGGCTTTGACCTTCTTTTGGGCTCTTGTGTTGCTTACAGTATATTGTTAGAGGTGGAAGAGATCTGTTCCATTTGTTGCCGGACGCGTTCAAGGGGATCAGGCAAATTGGTGTGATCGGATGGGGGTCTCAGGTGCAATAGCCCTATTTTAGCACCACCTTTTTTCTTTCGTAGATGCAAAGACGTGTTCTTCCCTATGTCTCCTTCCTTTCAGTTTCACTAGTCCCCCCGTGTTCACCTCATAGTTCACTCGTTTGTGTATCTAACACCAAGGTCTTTCTTGTTCTGTAGGGTCCAGCCCAGGCACAGAATTTGAGGGATTCACTTGCCGCGGCGAATTCAGATATCGTGGTCAAGGTGATGCTGCTTTTAAGTTTCATTTTTCTTTTCGTGTTTATCATTGCTTTTGAGGTGAGATCTTTCATGGTCACCTTGGAAGATCCAACTTAAACGTACCCTTATGTACTGCCTATATAAATATGATGTGTTTGTTCAAGATGTTAGAGTTTACGTATCCAAAACACTTAATGAACTACCTACAAGATACTGAGGATGTCTTTTAAAACTCTGTGGCGGTCGACTTTTAGAAATTTTGGCTTTCTAATTTTGATTTTTCACCTGCAAAAAAGTATAAAATGAGGACTCCAAAAAATGACTTCCCTTTATATATTATAAACCTACTATCAGCTTCCTGTCATCTTTGCCTAAAAATGGTTTCCTTATAGTCATTTAGTAAGATTTGTTGTGCTGATCTGTTCACGTCGTATTTTTAGTTGTATGGAACCTTTTATCTTCTCCTGGCTTTTTAACCTGCATGATTGTTTTGAAACCCCAACATCGACGAGGTTGCCATGTGGGATGACAGACGACAGATTAAATGTTTTCTCTTCCAGCAGATTCCGTTTACATGGTTCTTTGATCTATTGGTCTGTTCGATGTTTTATTCCCCTCAATTATATATTTATTGGATCATCAATATCTCTTCTGTTCTGTACAAGTTGCTCTTTTTCTGTATACCAGCTGTTGTACAACTAATAAACTGTGGCGTTGAAACCATCCTTCAATTATTCTAGTGTTCTGTGCTTGTGTATCCTTAAGCATTGTGATTTGCACACCTGCAGATTGGCCTAAGAAAAGGTTCTCGATCTTTTGATGAAGCACGCGCTGCTGGATTCACTGAAGAAAATGGAACTTTGGGTGATATCTGGGAAACAGTTTCTGGCAGTGATCTTTTATTGTTGTTGATTTCCGATGCTGCACAGGTTAGCTGTTGAACATATAGAATCTGCAGTCAAGAGGATTCAATTTATGTGCTGGTTTGCATGGTTTGGCAGATTTCCAACTCATATAGCTTAAAAACTTCATTATAGTGATCATGGAAATATGTAAACAAATAACGCTTACAAAACATCAGGAAAATAGCCCTATCAAACTTGTAACAAAAGAGGTTTATTTGAGACATTAAACGACACAGTAGGTAATTGAAAGTTGATCTCCATTATTTGCACTATCTGCATTTTGTCTTTAAGTATTTGGTTTCGATTTAATGTTGACCAGCATGCTTATTTTATTTTGCCAGTTTCCTTAGTGTTAATATCAATACGAGCTTTTGTAGGTCAGTGTGTTGGCAAAATGTCTTGCTAATTTACCATAAGTTAACAACACCATTTTGCATCTTAATACTCCAGGCGGACAACTATGAGAAGGTATTCTCTCACATGAAGCCAAACAGCATCCTGGGCCTCTCCCATGGCTTTCTTCTTGGACATTTGCAAACACTTGGTCTTGATTTTCCCAAAAACATTAGTGTGATTGCTGTATGCCCCAAGGGAATGGGTCCTTCTGTTAGAAGGTTGTATGTCCAAGGGAAAGAAATAAATGGTGCAGGAATCAATTCTAGTTTTGGTGTACACCAGGTACCTTCATGACCTAGAAGTTTGTTTCATGAACTAATACCTGCAATGTTGATACACAGTTGCTTTCTATGTCAACAGGACATTGATGGCAGGGCTGCAGATGTTGCTCTGGGATGGTCGGTCGCTCTAGGATCACCTTTCACCTTTGCTACCACATTGGAGCAGGAATATAAGAGTGACATTTTTGGAGAGCGCGGTTAGTCTGTTTGCCTGGTACAGTGTTGCTTTTCAACTTCGGTCAGTTGTATAATTTAGTTTGATTGGTTGCAGGTATTTTACTCGGCGCTGTGCATGGAATTGTGGAGTCATTGTTCAGAAGATACACTGAGAACGGAATGAGCGAAGAACTGGCTTACAAAAACACCGTAGAGTGTATCACGGGGATCATATCAAAGACCATTTCAACAAAGGTAAATGTATCTGTTTTGTGTTTCTTATTCAAGGGATCTTACTCATACAACTGAATTCCAGGGTATGCTTGCTGTGTACGATGCTCTGTCTGAAGAGGGGAAGAAAGAATTTAATGCTGCATATAGTGCATCATACTACCCTTGCATGGATATATTATACGAGTGCTATGAGGATGTTGCATGTGGCAGTGAAATTCGCAGTGTCGTTCTAGCTGGACGACGCTTCTACGTAAGCTCTTAAGCATGGTCTATGCAAATATTATGCTTATTTTCTTTTTCCGACATGATGTGAAAATGACATGAATGTTGTGCTTATTTTCTGTGTCAGGAAAAGGAGGGTCTTCCTGCTTTCCCAATGGGTAAAATCGATCAAACACGTATGTGGAAAGTTGGTGAGAAAGTTCGTGCCGTTCGTCCTGAAGGTGATTTGGGGCCTCTGCATCCGTTTACTGCAGGCGTTTATGTAGCTTTGATGATGGCACAGGTATAACATATTGTATTGTTCTTTGTTTGAATCTCGTACATGTTGCTTAAATTCTGTTCATGTTCCTTGACACCCTTGATGGCATGAACTATGTGCAGATCGAGGTCCTAAGGAAGAAGGGACACTCCTATTCGGAGATCATCAACGAGAGTGTCATAGAGTCTGTTGATTCACTGAACCCTTTCATGCATGCTCGTGGGGTGTCATTTATGGTGGATAACTGTTCCACGACTGCACGTCTGGGATCAAGGAAATGGGCTCCACGGTTTGATTACATCCTCACGCAGCAGGCTTTTGTTGGTGTCGATAAAAAGAGCCCCATTAATCAAGACCTCCTCAGCAACTTCTTGTCTGATCCAGTTCATGGTGCAATCGAGGTTTGTGCACGGTTGAGGCCAACTGTTGACATCTCAGTTCCACCCGACGCCGATTTCGTCCGCCCGGAACTGCGGCAAAGTAGCAATTGAGATGTGATTAGTTTTGATACTCGGACCAACAAGTGTGTGTTTGTTTGAGAGGTTAAACTCAAGGAAAGCTTCCTAAAGATGCAGTTCCATCAAGCCTCCGGAGAAATTAGGCTGCCGATTATGTAGCTGGTAGTGAAGCGTTGTGGCGTTTGTTTGTAGTTTTGCACGTTGAATAATATGGTGCTCCACTGAGCATCGTTCGTGTTGTTTTCGTCTTCGTCGTCCGGCAGTAAATTGGTGATTATGTACCCTACTAAGACAATATTGTTCTCTTTTTTAGATCTTTTTGACGGAATGGAATTTTTATTGGTTGACAGCAGCCGATTGCTTATTCTGAAAGTTGAAGCTTAAAAAGTGCTTTAGCTGTAGTTAAATGTGGTTTGGTGGCAAAGATGTTGATCGCAAATGACACATGGAAATAGTAGGCAGTAGTAGCAAACCAAAAGGAGGAGCATCGGATGTGGAGAGAGAGAGAGTAGGGAATGAGAAGAAAACCAAATCCATGCCCGCAAACACAAACAGCCATTGTGGAACCCGAGCATCCCTTGGCGTGTGAACCGAAGCCACAAAGAAGTATTGGATCACGAGCGTGCGGTCATAGAAAGAATGAGGGACTTTGATGGACTCAAAAGACCCACTCATGTGCCTTCAATTCTAACTCCATCATCTATTTTCCTACTCGATTCGATGCTTTGAAGCTGTGAGACCGACCGGATGGAGGATATCGTCCGTGTGAGGCCGAAAGAACACCGGCACACTTGACCCATGGTGGATCTCAGACATTCTGCGTCATCTTAGTTGCAGGAGATGACGCCTGTGTTTATGTCCTTCACCAGCCATTCAAATCACTCGAAACCTACTCCCCTACCGACTTCACTGTTGCTCGGCATCGGATAACATATTAACATCACACAAAGAGGGGTCTGCGTGCCCATCACAAGGGTAGCACCGGCCTTATTGATTGCTTGCTTGCGGTCATCCTCTCGTCAGGCTCGGAGGAGAAGACACCGACCCCAGTACTTACAGCAGCATGTAAGACAAACGGCGTCCGAGTCGGATCCACGAGTGCTGTCGGAGACCGACAACACATGATCACAGCTATCCATCTCATCATCACCATTCTAGGATTCTCCATACGCATGTGACCTCACCGAACGTTTTACGTTCACCCGCTGATCTCCCCCATCATCATTCATGTGAAGACAGAACAGTAGCGAGCATCGTAGTCAACTCCATTAACAGTAGCGCCCGGCACCGCCACTAGAGTGCCTGTAGCAGGTATCGTCGATAGGTCCTCGACGTGGAGCTGACATTCGCTTCACGAGCGACGTACGTTAGACATCGATGTAGCGTCTTCCATGGTTGGCGGTCCTTGGGAATTCCTCGGTTTAGGTGATACCAACCCTCCCAATGCAGATGGGCCTAACCTTCTCCTTCATTTGAATTCCGAAGCTGATGAGCTATGTCCGACGCAGGCACCATTAATACTTGGGACGGTGACTCCTCTCCGAGGCAGACGATCGAGACAGCACTAGGAAATGCACGTGTGCTGACTCGGCGATGAGGTGATCCACTGTCAGATTTAGACAAATCGTACGTGGTGCAAGCAGTTTGACCGGTGATGAGTTCAGGAAGCAGGTGCTCCTGCACTTGCTTTGCGGTACAAAGATTACGAAAGGAAGCTGGACTAGTAGACGCATGTAGTTCGATCTCCCATGGCTCGACGGTAAAGAGTTTGATTTAAAAAGTCAACGAGACCATGTAGTTCGATCCGTGTCATGGACTATTTTGGCTTCTGTTTCTTAGGAGAACCAGCCGACGCGTACGTGTAAGTCTCTCGCTGTTCCGTGTACGGTCGAGCTGTCGGCGGACTGCGGCCTATCAAGTGTCGATCTCGTGGGTGCTGGAACGGAACAGGGAACAGCGTTTGGGACAGGAAGCCGGCGTCTTCGGTCTTCCCGTGCCGGAGTTGACCTCGAGTGACTCCAGGGTGTGCCACGTGATCGGGGATAAGGTGGTGGTGGTAGTACGTGGCGCATGGTTGGAGCCGGGCCCAACTGCTATATCGTATCAAACACGTGCTCCGTGGAAGTCACGTTACGGTGGGGTCCGTCCCCAATCCCGACGACGTCAGGTTCCGAGGTTCCCGGCACAGACTGTTCTTATTTTTGCCTCCAATAATATGGGGTGGGGGGGGGGGGGGGGGTAAAACCAATTTATATTTATATTATTTTTCTGAAAGAAACCATTACAACGAGGAACATTGATTCGACCGATCTACTGCGATCTGTGGCGAGACAGTGATGATGATGATGATGATGTTTTTGAAAACTGCAAGCTTACCTTTGAAAATTGGTTTGATGATGCATCAAATCAAATCACATCACATCACATCATAAGACTTTTGTCCCACGGAGTGATTCACTCGCCCTGCAGATAGATGACGACCGATTGGAATGGGTTTGGATCCCTGCATCGGTGTGTGGAAGGAAGACTCTTCTTTTTGAACTCCTAACAGATGTACGGTGGACGATTGCATCTTTTCCATTCCATAGGTAAAAAGAAAAAGATATATACAAAGAGTTCATCTCTGCGGGCGAGCTGCTCATGCAAGCATCCATAAACAAGCGTCAACAAGTCTGAAGCCGATTTAAGAGAAATACGTGGAACATGATTTCGTATGCCTCGTGGCATGCAATATACATGTAGCAAAGTCCAGTTTGGCTTTTGCATCCCGAGTTGATGCGTCATTCAAATCCGCTTACCGACCTTTGCAAAGAATCTTGAGATGTCGGGTGACTCATTCAAGAACGAATTAATCCCATGTCCTGACCCACCCTGATTTGATATGATTAACAAATGGCATTTTTATTTATTTATTTTTGAATCTTTTTTATCTTACTTTTAACCGATCCATCTTGTCCACCCCATTCTCCATCCAGCCATCCATCCATCCTAGTTTGTAGGTCACCCAGCTGAACCTACTCTTTATTTTCTCGCCTACTCTCTTATTGTGACGGAATCAACACCTACTCTTCCCTACACGCCCTTTTCAAGAACTGGACAACGTCGCATCTTTAGCAGCAGCGTAGAAATTGTGGTGTGGTGGGGGTGGATGGTGTTTGGGGGGTTTATTTATATACGTGCACATAAAATACGTACAAACCTCCGTACTTGTCACCCAGACACCAAACGTCTTATAACGACCATCGTATCACATCGAGGACTAACGCTGAAGAGGAAGGAAGACAAGCAACGGTGGGCACACTATCCAAACCACATTGGAACGACCGTTACTACCGTTTCTTCAAGCGCACACCGCCACCAACGGCTGCATTCCGCATTCCCCGCTGGTGACACAGCACGCGTCCTCGTCTGCAATCCCAACGACGGACGACGGCCCGCCGTGTGCGGATCCTATCCCGCTGTCGCGACCCAACTTCGTAGTCCACGACAACAAGAAACTAATCGCGATTAGATTTTAACCCCATCCGGTAAACAAAACATCGAGGTTGCAGCTCTAACTTTGTCCGGTCGAGTCATCAAGTTAGACGATAAGAAGCGAGATTAATGTATGCGTATGTCATGCCAAATCAAAGAAAATGGTAAAAGTAGGTGGGGAATGCACGAACGAACGATCGAGTCAAAGGAAACAATGGGAGATGTGATGTCCATTTTCCGGATACATGATGTTGGTTGGGGAGTTTGAGGTGACCTTTGAATGGATTTTATATGATGAGACGATTAACGTGCTAACCACTCGACAATCGCTTGACGGGGAAACACGTCATATTTCTTCAACCTAATACTATTTCGGATAGGTGGGGTTGGGGGGTGCTTGTGAAGGGAAATATCCCTCCGCCAACGAAGACGATGATGATGATACTGCTGCTTCCATCAATAGTTGAAAGGGCTGCTTCAATCCGAGGACTTGGAATCCATTAAATCGGATCAGTGGTGATTCCATGTAGCAGCACGATTTTTGTGATATGATTTGTATGAACATGTCCAGTTATAAATAATAAAGCTTCGTCTAATCTGAACTCATGCGACTCAAAAAGTGGAGGAGCCACATGATTTGAAGGAGCGCTCACTACACATGATTTGATGTAACCCTCAAAGATGCAACGTAAAAGTGGAGATGGGATTCTCCCAAAGCCTACAAAGATGCGGCCATGTCTAAAGTTTCAAGCTGTTGGCTCTCCTCGGCGGTACTTGATCAAATCAAGAAACATTTTTGACCTTCTCCTCTAACCCACCTATAGCAAAGCATTCCATTTGGCTTTCTTCAGTCCGATGATGATGGCATCAGCCTTGTGCCTGCGCAGACAAGTCGTCAAAAAGAGTGTAAGAGAAAAAGTCATATCTCAGGCAGATAACCCTATCCACAACCCAAAGTCTAGTACGAGTTTGAAGGAAAGAAAGTGGAGTGCGACGTCACCTAATCCTGATGGTGGTCCAAATCCATGACTCCCTTGTCACGCCGACAGCCGCCGGGTTTGGATATTATCTTCTGTGCAAGTGCAAGCTGGGAATATTCTTTTCCCTCTCTCCCTTCAATTCTATCGACCAACCACCGATGTGAGATTCCATCACACGTTCCATCGTCACCGGCTGCTGCCATCACGAAATATCGATGCATTCTCGTTTTCCTCTTGTTTCAGTCGTTGTTCAAACAAGAAGAAGAAGAAGAAGAAGAAGACGGTATCCGAGAGCGAACATGAGTCACATGCATGCATGAGTGGATGACAGGGGAGGAGACTAAAAATGATGAACCGGTCAGCTCCACAGTGTCTGCAGCAGCTGATCTGATGCTTCAGCACACGAAGAAGAGTAGCAGGGACTGCTTGCGACTCGCAAGCGGAAATTAAAGGATGTGAGCTGCTGCTGCTGCTGCTGCTGGGCATCAGATGGTCGTTCATGGATACCAAATCCATCGGCCACACCCAAATCCAAGCTCCGCCCACTCACTGCATTAAACACCGCCAGCATCGTCACGTTCTGTATCGACACAACATTAATTCCTTACTTCTGGCTTTTGCAGTCCCACCAGGTTCTTCCATCGCCCCATCCCACAATAGCCAATAGTCAATATCCAGCTTCTCATCAACACAAGATTGGACCAATTTTTAATCGGAATTTGAATAATAATAATAATAATAATAATAATAATAATAATAAGCTTCTCATGAGATGAAGAAAAACGTATGAGCAGATGGATGCCATGGTGAATCGGGTAGAAGACACGGCCCGTGATACAAGAAGAGTGGTTCTCATGTGACTTGCCAGGGAAAACAACAAGAGTGGTTCTCATAATAG